AAGACCACAACATGTGGCTGATGAAGAAACCAAGAAACGTGTATTTCGAGAAACAAATATCAATACTTGCTTGCACAGCATTTGTTAATCTTTGACCCTCTGGATAATCTCCAGTTATTCTTAAACAATCACATGAATCGACTAGTTTTAAAAAAAATTGTCCCATTTCTACGTGACCCTGTTTTTATCTTGTTTGTCCGCCAATTTCGACAGTATTGTAATAAGCATTAGTAGAAGTCAATACGATTTGAGGTCAAATAGTTGGAGCATCCTTTATATTTGTGTATGTAAGGGATATACCTGCTAATTTTGTTCATCTACTTTGGTCACAGACAGTTGTTCTTGCATCCTTCAGTTCACAACAAGGTGCTTGTAAATTCTATATCGTGTTTGAGGTTAACAGCGTCCACTACATGTTTTTCCAGTCTTTTATGAGGATACTATATGACTTAGAAAACCACTAAGGTAGAGCATAGCAGGGAAAAACTTAACGTTACAGTTCACCTTATAATGAAGCTAAATAAAGCAAAGCTTACTTCATTTTCCGTATGTTCGTGCAGACATTCGTATCGATTTTCTCCGACTGAAAACTCGTCCAGAAGCGCAGCGGTCGAAAGAACTTCCTTCCTATCCGAGATTGGTGTACAATTTCTTAAAGCGAACTTCCTGCGTTTCTTATCCGCTTCATTTTCACCGAGTGACATTCTGTTTGATCGGAATTCTAAATTCGGTGTTCTAAATTCGTGGAATGGATGTACATTTTTGGGCACAACGAATGAGGTTGATGGAAAACTAACGACACCCGAGGCATCGATGAACATTTTTTGTCCAAACCAAATCTGACGCAGAATCAGGTAAGTGTGGTAGAATCTGTAGGCAATAATTAGACAATCTATGGCCAAGAGAAGGAGACGAATTTCAGTGAGAGAGAATGCAATGAGTTTTGCGTCATGCTTTTTAAACTGAAATGTCCGATTTTCAAGCGTGTTCTGGTCAAAATGATCAACAGACTTGCGAGGAATTTTGTCCGCAACTGCCGTCATTCGAAGTGAGCTTGTCAAACCATCATCCACTTCAATAAAATCAGAGTCACTATTACTGAAAAAGGTTCGTTCGACGACCGGCTCAGCAACGAATCGCCGGGTCATGCGGTCCAGTTTTACGCTTGTCCTCTCCTCGTCCGTTGCACGTCCTTCATGTTGTTTGGAGGGGATAGGCGGTTCCGG